TTATTTGTGACCCTGGAGCACAAAACCAGTCTTAAGTCGCTGGGGTATATTTGTAGCAATAACCAAAAATACATTGTATGGGTCGAAATGATCGATTTTTCTTTTATGCCAAAAATCATTAGGATATTAAGTAAAGATCATGTTCCATGAAGATATTTTGTAAATTTCCTACCGTAAATATATCGAAACTCAATTTTTGATTAGTAATATGCATTGCTAAGAAATTCATTTGGACATATTTACAGGCAATTTTCTCAATATTTTGATTTTTTTTGCTCGCTTAGATTCCATATTTTCTAATAGTTGTATCTCGGCCAAATATTGTCCTATCCTAACAAACCATACATTAATGGAAAGCTTATTTATTCAGCTTTCAGATGATGTATAAATCCCAATTTCAGAAAATTGACCCTTATGACTGGTTTTGTGGGCAAGGGTCACATATGTTAAAATGTAATTTATTCCAGTGTTCAACTCTGAATTTTCAGCATCATTACTCCAGTCTTCAGTGTCACATGATCTTCAGAAATCATTCTAATATGCTGATTTACTGCTCAAGAAACATTTCTGATTATTATCAATGTTGAAAACAGTTGTGCAGAAACTTAAAGCGCATTTGTTTGAAATTGAAATCTTTTGTAACATTATAAATGTCTTTTCTGTCACTTTTGATCACTTTTTTGCATCCTTGATGAATAAAATAGTTTCTTTCAGACATGTCCAATCATTTTTTAGACCTTATTTATTTCCAGGCTGATTCCCTGATATTTCCAAGTTCTCCATATTTGTGAGAAACCAGACCATGTCACAAATAACAAAACAAAAACAAAACCTAGTACTACGTCCAAAAAAACACCAACACAGTAGTAGCATGACACATTTTCATTAATAAAGGTCAGAATGAACATTTAGATGCATTGTGACTCACATCATCACCCACCCACACAAACCATCAGCATTCACTCGTCTGTGTGTGTGTGAGTGTGTGTGTGTGTGTGTGTGAGACTCACTGCTGCTGTCTCCGTTGAAGCTGCCTGATGCCAGCTCAGGCTCAGTGGAGTTGCTGGAGGAGTGTGAGCGTGCGTCCAGAGCAGCGAGGGACTGGAGCATGCTCAGGACGCTGTTGGATGTGGGGAACTGCAGGTACTTCTCTGGAACGTAGCCCACCTGACCGGACTTATTCCGCGCCTGGAACCAACCATGACAACATTCAGCAGCAGTCACCCAAACACTTTAATCCAATTTTCTTCATTGATTTTGGGAGAAAAAAATCAGTAATTGATCTAAACATGATAAATCTGTTAAACAGAGCTAAAAGAATAGTCAAATTATTAAAAATAAAAATAATCAATTGATGATAATCACCAAAATATTTAATAATCAAACATGCAAGGACAAAGGCCCACATGGAATCATCACTGACTCCCGCAGAATTCAAACAACCGTCATTCAAACAGTTTGCGAATGGAACTTTCGGAATAACACTGGAATTCAAATGGAGTTTCTGCACTAATTTGGGAGTGAAAAATCACTGGGATGAACCTAAACATAAAAATGTGTTAAAGCTTGCAAGAAATGAAAATTAATTCAAATATTTTTAAATTAATGCTATAGATTGTATTGTGAATGATTCTTATTGTGAAAAGATGTTGCTATTCTGTTCTGCGACTTTAAACAGAGCTAATGAATTCTCAGATTATTTATAATAATAATAATAATAAAAAACAACTAAACTAACAAAAAATGATTAAAACTTATAAACAGGCCCAAACGGAATGCAGCGGAAAGTTCCACAGTTTTCCAAAGAATTCAACCAACTGTCATTCAAAACGTTTGTGTGCAGAACTTTTGGAATAATTGGAATTCGGTGTAAATCTTATTTTTGACACATTACAAGACACACAAAAATCCTTTCCTTCTGTATCTTATTGAATTACAGTCTAATTGAAATAAACTTCAGCAGGTTGTGTTGAACTGCTGAAATAAGCAATGGTTTAAATGGTTTACCTTCACCCAGTCCTCCATGTCTCCATCTTCTATAACCTCCAACATCTCATGCTCATCGATGGTTAGTTCATCGGGCTGAGAGGCCTGAGAGAAAGAGAGAGGTAAAACACTATTGAGCAATGCGAGGTCACCGTGCAGGTTAATATTTTTCGTTTCCCTGACACAACCTTTACAAACAAGAGAATGATGCAGGAAAATGCAGGGGTGCAGCAACCATTTTCACTGACTTCAACACGGTTTAGTAGATAATCATTACAATTTTTAAATATTTTATTTGGCTGCAGAATGACGAATAAGAATAGGAAGCACACACATGACATAATTAATATTCATAAGCCAAGCTGCTGGGCAAGTAGGAGAAAAATGTGACCAACAGAGATTTTGACTTTGACTAATGTTATTGCTAAGCTAATGTTTCCAAATACATTTGAACAATTGCAGGGGGGGCAGAAATTTGAGACTTATCTCAACAAGGTCAACAATGTTAGAAATCAAACAATGCCAAAGTTCATGAACGTTTGATTTTTTCAGATGGTATCATATGCATAAAACATTGAAGAGATGCTGATGAGGTTTATTACATGATATTTATATACTACTACATTACAGTATTTATTCATATTTGAATTCAATTTTTTTAGTCATTTTTTGTGTTTTTGTCATTTCCATACATTTATTTAAATATCTCTATTTAGTTTTAACTTCATTTTCAGGTTTTTGTTTTAGTAATTTTAGTGCTTCAACTTATTTTAATTTAGAACTGAGTACTTCAACTTACCACTTACTAGTACTTCAGCTTATTTCAGTTAGTTGCCAAGGCAACATTTTCAATTCTAGTTTAAGAGTTTGTTTTCTCATCTAATATTCATATTTCATTTTATTTCAGCTTTATTTAAATGAGAACGAAAAAAATTTTAATAGTTTGTTCCTAAGCCCCAGCTAAATGTGTTTTTAAATAAATAAATGTACTTTGACAAATATTTAAATATGAAATATTTATAGTTTATCAATATTATGTATAATTTATAATAAACAATAATAATAATAAAAAAAATATTTTTTTGTTTGTAATAAAAGTTAAATAAAAATAAATTAATACATTATAAACATTTTTCTAATCATAAATTAATATGTATTACTTTATAATATAATTTTATGCATAATTTATTATTAATAATTTATAAATATTTTTGTTTTTATTTATAATAACATGAAATTATATTAAAACATGATTAATATTTATTATAAATTAGATTTGATACTAGTATCAGTTTTTTTAAGTTGACGTTTTTCATCTAATATTTATATTTATATTTTATTTCAATGAACAAAAACTTGTTTTAATAGTTTTAGTTAACAAAATCATAACTGGTCCACACTTTTTAGATAATTCCTAAGCCCGAGTGAAATGAGTCGGTGTCTTTTACCTTGTATGAGTAGAACACCTTGCAGGTGAGTGGGTAGTTCCTCAGGGTTCCTGAAGGACTCGAGCTGCTGTCGTCGTACGTCTCCATGTTCTCTTCTAATTCTTCTCCTTCCTCTCTGTCCAAATCCACCGTGGTCTACAGAGACACCACAATGAGCGTCACGACACGGACAAACAGCACGGCTCACTTGTTGGCTCAGTATTGGTCAATAACCTTCAGAAAGTTTGGCAGAGGGCTTTTTTGTGTGAGAAAATACAACGGCATGCAACAAACAGCTCAACAGACCAAAATTCAATAGGTGTGTGGACTTTACTTAGTATCCGCCCACTCTTATAGGATAATCTCATTGGTCTAGAGAGGATCAGGTGACCATTTTTCTCAGGAGAAAAAACGTGGCAAACAGAAGAATAAAATCATCAACAAAGGACACAGGCAATAGACACTCATACCTTTACAGGTGTTCAATGTGCATCTCACATAACCGGATTTAACTGGGTGCAATACCGGAGGAAAACTGATCCCGTGTCAGTCAGTGAAGGTCAACAGAACTGAATCATGGGACCAGGCGAGGTCATTGTAATCTGGAACCTGTGCTGTGGTGGGTGGAGCCTGATCTACAGACCACGCCCACTGCTGACATAAAACAGCTTGTGACGAGGTAATAAAGATTAGACTGAGTGTGAGAAAGCACTTTGGGGTCACTGTTATCTTAGCCCTATAAAGCCTACTGTATCAAGATTGAAATGGAAATTTCTTAAGGCCTCTAAGTTATCAAAACCTGTGGTACACCCAAGGTCTTCTGATTAACAGCTTTAAATACTTTTTTAGCAAGTAAAATGTCTTTTAGTCCAGCTTGTTCTTCACGGTGAAATCTTTAATGATTTTTATCAAGTAAATGTAAGAATAGCTTTATTGTTTGCAATATTTCAATATTACTGGAATGAAGGTTTACTTGATTTTCTATCCATTGCAACAAAAATCATGTTGAAATGTATCAATAAACGGTTCAATAAACTGCTGCATTAAAAAAAAAAAAGATAAATATATATTTTTTTACTATTATTGAATGTCAGGCTTTACAGGGTTAAAGCCTAATTTCCACAAAGATGTGTGTAAACTATCTATAATAACTTTCTCTTTTCATTTGATATATGCTTTTATCATCTCCTCTCATCCTCACATCCTAAAATATCCTCGTCTGAAAATAAACCGAGGGACTGAGATCAGTTATTCCAGGTTTCCCAAACTCGCATCAGTTGCTGTGGTCTCTTCTCGTCTTTAGCTTTCTTATGTTCTGTTGTAAATCTCTCCGTCTCTGTCTGTGTGCTGCGGGGCGCTGTGAGCTGAATATTAAACCACAGACGGAGGTCAATCTGTCTGTGCTGTGGGCTAAACTCTGCTATGTTATTAATATTTCTGCCGTCTTACCTAAAATCACTCAGTCTTTACAATGACCTTGAGGCTCCGTGCTTCACACTATGTTCGTGTTTTAGCCTCGCAGTACTTCACACTTGTGCTTAACAACACTGCTGCACTGTTCTCATTCTCTACTCAAGTACTATGGAGTATATAAACTTCAACACATATTAGTCAACTTGCAGCACATGATGCTCTTCTAGTCTGCAAAAATTTGCACACCATAGATTTGCTCAACAACCAGACTTTAGGTGAGCAAAAAGTGACAACTAGCTAAAAAAAAAACATTGGCACGTAACAGCAGAAAGGCTTAAGAAAAAAAGACTACTTATATTAAGTTTTATATTAAGCGGTTTGCTTGGCCATTTGTTGTGATAAACAGGAAAGTGTGTCCAGCTGAATTCAATTTGAGTTTTGTATAAGTCGCTTTGGATAAAAGCATTTGCTAAATGACTAAAAGTAAAAGTAAAAGTATATTGTTTATTAATTTAGCAGCTGCATTTAGCCAGAAAAAGAGAGAATAAGATTATTATTTTAATTATTTTGTAAAATAGGAGCTTTTTTTGTAGTATGTGCCTTTGTTTATGGTTGTGGATTACTAAGTGCTTGCAGAAGAGGTGTGTCTTTATATATTTACTCAAAATAAATGTAAAAATATATATTTACAATTCTTAAATATAATAATACATTTTTAAATATAATGAATTATAAACATATGTCTATTTATATATTATAAAATAGTAAAGTAAAAACATGTTTTTAATTGTAATAATATAAATATAATAATAATGATAAAATACCTATCATTTTTAAATATAATTAATATATAAAAAAATGTGTATTTATTAAAAACAAGTTACAAAAAAATATAAATATAATTAAAATATTTATAATATAAACAAAAATATTACAGTATACATACAGGTGCATCTCAATAAATTAGAATGTCGTGGAAAAGTTCATTTATTTCAGTAATTCAACTCAAATTGTGAAACTCGTGTATTAAATAAATTCAATGCACACAGACTGAAGTAGTTTAAGTCTTTGGTTCTTTTAATTGTGATGATTTTGGCTCACATTTAACAAAAAGCCACCAATTCACTATCTCAACAAATTAGAATACTTCATAAGACCAATAAAAAAAAACATTTTTAGTGAATTGTTGGCCTTCTGGAAAGTATGTTCAGACAAGTAGATTCTCTATGGGGTTCAGGTCTGGTGAGTTTGCTGGCCAGTCAAGCACACCAACACCATGGTCATTTAACCAACTTATATTACAATATAATTTTTTTAATACAATAAAAATAATAAGTTGAATATTCATACATTTGAAATATAATAAATATATCATATAAACCTTTTATAATACATAAATAAACAGAAGAGCTGTCCGCATTTCACCAACCACTGTCTCAATCATATTTCTGTGCTTTTTCCCCCTGTTCTGTGCAAAAAATGCCGCAAGATATTCCTCCATTTCATTTGTTGACAATGATCGACTCTTCTGTTACAGTGTGTGTGAGAAAAATGTTTGGGAATAACTATGAAAGTGTGTAAACTGTGCACCAAAAACACGACAGCGTAAGTGGTCAAATGTGCTTTAGCCTTTATAGTGTGTACTTGGCATAAATGGCACTATTCCACCCAGAACTCATAACTCACTGTCACATCTTCTAGCATCTCAAAGGGATTGGGGTCTGTGTGAGTGCATCTGTTGAGTTCAGGAGAACGTTTGTCTGCTGTGATCAAGATTAGTTCTCTCTACTGTTTGTTTAGGCTGGTCTGAAAACAATGGCGCTGACAGAAACAGGAAGGAGCGGGTTGAGGAGGCTGGCAGGACTCTTTTATCAAATGCACGAGAACAAAATCCCACCTCAACTGCATCATTTGAAATGGAAAGTGAGCAATGAAAGTGAGAGAATCTGCATGTAAACTCTTTGATCTCACCGACAGAGAGAGGTCGTGGGTGGTGAGGGGGGGCAGCGAGGCCCAGCGCTCGTTCTCCAGCTCTTCCATCACCTGGTTCAAGGCACTCTTCAGCCACGTGTCCACAGAAACTCCCACCTGCCGCAGGAGGTCCAGACGCGCTTCTGCTTTCAGCTTTAGCGTCTGAAAAACACAAAGACAGACAGTCCTGTTCATACATCTACTGCTTATGAATGAATAACTAATTGTCCAGTGTGGTTCAGTTCAGTCTGGTGTGGTTAATCTTAAGAAAACTAAAACTACTAAAAATCTTTTGTGTTAACGGAAAAGAGCTGAAATAAAATAAAAGTAGTAGCCTTGGCAACTAACCGAAATAAGTGTAAGTACTATAATTACTAAAACTAAAATAAAAATAATTTAGAAATATACATTAAAACAGTTGAAATAAATCTACTGAATATTTTATAATAAATATGTTTATAAATATGTAAGTTGAAGTAGTAAATTACTAAGAGTGAAGTAAAAATAACAAGCCTACAAACAAATATTTAAACAGAAAATTACTAAATTGCTAAATAGAAATATTTCAAAACAAACTAATAAAAAAATTAAAATGAAAACTGAAAATAAAATGAAACAAACTAATTTAAAATAAAGAGAGATAGAAATAAGTTGAAGTACGAAAATGACTAAAACTAAAACTGAAATAAAAATAAATTAAAGATAAATAGAAATATACATTAATATTAATAGTTGAAATAAATCTACTGAATATTTTATAATAAATATGTTTATAAATATGTAAGTGCAAGTAGTAAATTACTAAGAGTGAAGTAAAAATAAATGACTAGCCTACAAACAAATATTTAAATTGAAAATTACTAAATTGCTAAATAGAAATATTTCAAAACTAATAAAAAAATTGTAATGAAAACTGAAAATAAAATGAAACAAACTAATTTAAAATAAAGATAAACAGATAGAAATAAGTTGAAGTATGAAAACTAAAACTGAAATAAAAATAAATGAAAGCTAAATAGAAATATAAAAAGAAAAACGAATAAAAATGACAACAGTACATAATAAAAAGATGAAAACTAATAAAATTCAAACTAAAAATAAAAAACGAAATAAAAGCTCGTCTGTTCATACAAAAGCAACCAAAATTAGAATTATTAAAATATTTTTGTTAATTTCAAAAAGAGCTGAAATAAAATATTTAAAAATAAAAAAATAAAAAAAAATATTACATGTAAAACATGAAGAATGACCATTAAAATATTGCGTTGGAAACTAACTGAAATAAGCTGAAGTACTAAAATGATTAAAATTAAAACTAAAATAAAAATAAACAAAAGCTAAATAGATAGAAAAAACCCCACAAACTAACAGAACTGAAAACTAAAACTGAAATAAAAATAAATGAAAGCTAAATAGAAATATAAAAAGAAAAACGAATAAAAATGACAACAGTACATAATAAAAAGATGAAAACTAATAAAATTCAAACTAAAAATAAAAAACGAAATAAAAGCTTGTCTGTTCATACAAAAGCAACCAAAATTAGAATTAAAATATTTTTGTTAATTTCAAAAAGAGCTGAAATAAAATATTTAAAAATATAAAAAAATATTACATGTAAAACATGAAGAATGACCATTAAAATATTGCGTTGGAAACTAACTGAAATAAGCTGAAGTACTAAAATGATTAAAATTAAAACTAAAATAAAAATAAACAAAAGCTAAATAGACATTAAAAACCCCACAAACTAACAGAACTGACATAAGTGCATAACAAAATTACAAAAAAAAAAAAAGGACAAATACAATTAAAACTACAAATAAAAAAGCAAATTTAAAATAAACAGCTTTACATATACTGTAATTTTCAAGCAACAAATAAGTTGTCCATACAAAAATGTGAAATTATGCCTTGGCAATTAACTGAATTAAAAAAAATGATATATTAAAATTAATAAAACTGGGGGGTGGGAGGAATTAAAGCTAAACAGAAATATAACAACACTCATAAAAAAAGACAAAAGCATATAACAAAATCTTAAAACTAAAATTAAAATCTATAATTCAAAATACCAATAATACTATATTAATATAAAAATATGACTAAAATAACATTGGCTCAGTCCAGGTTGACCAACCTCACTTTCAAAATGCAATTTTGCAGTCACTTTTTGCAATGAAATTGAGTGCTGAAAACCAAAGGGTGTCAGATTGATTCTAAAACAAACTGTGTGTGAATGTAGCTTTAAAACAGGACTGACTGAATGAAAGTAGCCTCTGAAAGCAAAAAGCTGCATTTTAAAAGACAAGTTAACGTCAGACAGAGAAAAACAAACAAGATAAAACTGCTGGGAGCACGAGTGTCCCGTCCCGTCACAATGTCTGGGGTAGCTGTGCTCATTAGACAGGTGAGGCGTCTGATCTCTGAGGATCCTACAGCTGTTTCTCATTATCAGCCAAACTTTCTGAAGACTCATCACTTTCAGTTTAGCCAACAAACAGCTTTCAGAAGCCATTTCAGTGTGGACTCCCTCAGTCATTCATTTCTGTGTAATTCTGACGGAACAAGAAATTTCAAAGGAAATAATTAAAATGCAATTATACTTTTAATATGTGTTGATGAGTAGCCTAAACACAGATTTCTCTGGCACATTGCCTGCTGCCAAATAACAGCTTAACATTTCCAAACGCAACTTTAGGTTTCATTCCTTATTCTGTTTGTTGTGTCTTTGCTGGTTGTCCATTAGTTCTTAATGGGGTTATTAAATATTTAATGGTTTGTAAGAACTAATGGAGAACTACAATTTGGCTTCAAGTGTTCTGAGTTCAAGAGAAAAAACAAAGATGGTGTTTTATCTACAAAATCTAGTCCATTAAATTCTCTGTAATTACTTATTGTCGTTAATTTGTCTCATCCAAAAATGTCAATTCTGTCATCATTAGCTCACTCTCGTATTGTTCCAAACCCATATGACTTCCCAATGAGGAATTTGCACTTATGCATATTCAAATTTGGTGGGATTTTATCAGTTACAAGACATGCAAGAACCAATTTGTTTGGTGTCAATGATGACAAACCAGATAAAATGGTTTGAATGCATGCATGCATAAAACTTGAGAGCATCATTTTTAGGGATTAAAACGTTCAAGTTTAAGCTATTGCATGATTTACGAAGGCTTGGAACATATCACACTTTTATGGTTCATTTATTGTTTGTTATTGCTCTTGGTCATTGAATTATTACATTTATTGAACTTAAATTTATTTATTTCAATTAGTTGCCAAGGCAGCATTTCAAATTTTTCATAAAAAAATACTTTAATTTATTTTAGCTCTTTTTCAGTTAAGGAAAAGGATTTTTAATAGTTTTAAGTTGAAGTACTAAATTACTAAAATTGTAATAAAATACATTAAAGCCAAATAGAAACATTTAAAATACAAACAAATAAAAATAAAGTACAAAATTTTACAACTTAAACCAAAATTAAAATAAAAAAGGGATAAAAATACTAATTAAAAATAAAAATGGATAGAAATACGTTGAAGTTGAATTACTAAAATGACTAAAACTGAAATAATAATAAATTAAAACTAAACCAAAATAATAAAAAAAACTATAAAAATGTCAAAACACTTAACAAAAATTAAAATGAAAACTGAAAATATAAAAGCTAATTAATAGATAGACTGTCCTGTTCATACTTTATATTTACTGTAGTATTTAAGCAGTTACCTACAACAAACCAGTTGTCCATTGTAGCCCAGTGTTGTTATTGTAAACTAAAACTATTAAAAATGTTTTCATTAATGGAAACACAGCTGGACAAAAAAAAAGAAAAAAGAATATAGCATTTTTATGGCTCATTCATCTCTTAATCATTGTATGCTGCCAGGACATGGAAAAGCCATTCAAAATATTCACAGAATTCCTTCTTCAAGGAATAATGAAGTCATATGGGTTTGGAGCCACGTGAGGGTGATTAAACTATGACACAATTGTCATTTTTGGATGACACTTCCTTTAATATATAATCTATAAGAGAGGTCAGAGGCAAGGCCAGCAGAGGGCGCCTCGACTGCTGGATTCATGTGTAAAGACACGGCAGGACATCTTCGAGGAGAAGACACATTGATCAGACAAAGAGACTGACAGCCTGTCTCTGAACAGATCGATAGAGAGAGCTCCGTTTGGAAAGGGAAATGCATGCATTACAGAAAGACAGACAGACATTTGGGACATTATTAAAGGGTTAGTTCACCCAAAAATGAAAATTCTGTCATTAATTACTCACCCTCGTGTTGTTCGAAACCCGTAAGATCGTCGTTCATCTTCGGAACACAATTTAAGATATTTTTGATGAAATCTGAGGGCTCTCTGACCCTCCCATAGACAGCAAGGTAACTACCACGTTCAAGGTCCAGAAAAGTACCAAGATGATCGACAAAGAAGTCCGTGTGACATCAGTGGTTCAACTGTAAAGTTACGAAGCTACGAGAATACGGTCATATTTTACCTCAGAATCAAAAGGAAAAAGAAGACATTTTACAAATTTAGTAACATTGTGACTTTTTCATGATTACTAAGCACATTTCTCTTTCAAACTATTTTGTACATTTTAAAGAAAGTATACTGTTCTACCACTTTTATTTTGATTATTAAATATAATATTGCAATACAAAAAATATTGTATAATATTGTACTGCAACAATTTGGGGCTGGAACTCACCGAAAAGAAAAGAAAAGAACAAATTATAGTAAAATAAATAAAGTAAAAAAAAATTTTTTTTTAAATAAAATAAAATAAAAAAATAAATAAGTAAAGTAAAGTAAAATAAAAATAAAATAGTGAAGTTCACTAAAATAGTAAAACAATTTTTTATTTCTTTTAATTTTGTGGAATTATGTGACCTGGATGGATTTTGAGATTACACCTCCTCCTGTGAAACAGTTTATGTCTTAGTCATCTGTAATTAAATTATTAATTTGCATCTCAACAGAATTTGTATCAAATCCTCAAATGTAAAATATCCAGAATTTGGGGCTGGATCTCACAGAATTGTCATAAAAATAAAATTATATTGTATAATACTATACTGCAATATGCTTTATTGTAGATATAAAAATACTGTATAATTAAGGATTCCTCAAATGTAAAATTTCCAGATTTAGGGTTAATTTCATTTATTTATTTATTTTTTAATTTTGTGGATTCATGTGACATGAACATGATTGTGAAATTAAACCTTAAGTCACATAATTTGTAATTACTATAAAATTATGAATTTGCATCTCGATACTTACAGAAGATTTGTAAGTGTTTAAGTGTGTGTGTTGCTGAGGTTTGTCACAGATGTTGTTTTGGAGTGTAAATGCGTGTGTGTGACATCCAGCGCCTCTCACCCGTTTGTAATGGATGATGTTCTTGTGTTCGCGAGCCACACGTGTGGCCCATTTCCTCGCTTCTTTGTTGAGACTGTGTTCTTCGGTGGTTCCTGTCTCTGATTCCAGCTGTCGACTCTGAAAAACACACACACACACACACACACACACACACACACAGAGAGAGAGAGAACTGGTTACCACAGCAACATACACCTGCCGGAATCACAGGTCTGAGATCAGACTCATTACATTCACAATTAAAAACACAAAAGCACAGATCCAGTGCTGAGAACATTTCAACATCTCTGATATCAGACCTGAAGCACAGGAGGATTTGTTAATCAACTCAAATCAACCAACCTGCTTGGATTAGCAAGAGGTTTAGTGGGAAAAGACGGTTAACAAACGAGGTCTGAGGATTGTGGAGGAAAAAAGATTGCTTGATTCTTCTGTCTAATGATAAGGGATGCAATACAACATAAATCATTTTTTTAAGAGGCGAGTTGAGCCTCATTGTGAAACGTGCATGTACAGTAAAATCTAATGAACTCCTATTTCATTTAGGTTGTTGTTACAAAGTCTTTTCAAATCTCAAGTCTGTCTCTTTCTCAGCATCATTCCAGGTGTCATCCACTAATTATACGTCTCTCCCATGCATTCATCTCTGAGCTTAAACACCTGAAAACAATATGCATTTTAGACAAAAATCTCTTATGAGAGTGTGAAGAAAAATCAACAGGAATCTTTGCTGATCAGTTTATCAGTATACACTAGCATTTAAAAGTTTGGGATTTTTTTCTGATTTTCTAAGGATGCATTAATATAGTCAAAAGTGACAGTAAAGACATTTATAATATTACAAAAGATTTATATTTCAAATAAATGCTGTTCTTTTGAACATTTTTGAACTTATCAGAAAATCCTAAAAAAAACAAACCAAAAAAACGTATCAGTTTCCAAAGAAATATGAAGCAGCACAATTCAACATGGATAATAATCAGAAATGTTTCTTGAGCAGCAAATCAGTATATTAGAATGATTTCTGAAGGATCACGTGACACTGAAGACTGGAGGAATGATGCTGAAAATACAGCTTTGATCACAGAAATAAATTACAGTTGAAAACAGATATTTAAATTGTAATAATATTTCACTTTTTTTTTTTTAATCAAATAAATGCAGCCTTGGTGAGCAGAAGAGACTTCTTTCAAAACATAACATTTTTTTTTGACCAACCCCAAACTTTTGAACAGTAGTGTATGTTACTGTAAAGGTAAATAATCTTCATAATCAAATTAGAATAATTCATCATCTTTTATCAAATTTAAGAACTTTCTCCATCTGTGAAACAACACTTCTTCAACAATCTCTTTTATTTTTCATTGCCTTGATAAATAAATCCCACCCTACATATTCCTTTGGTTGAATATTGCATTTCACTCACAAAAATGTCATTATAAAAATAAAATGGGTTGCAATGCCAAATTCATGTTAACTTTAACCACTGCAGTATATTAAACATTACACATTAAATCAAAATCTCTGTGGTTTTTAGTCCATGCCTTGTCATCTATTTACATTTTACTTATTTTAGAAGTTGACTAAACAAACATTAGAAAGTATGTGTATTTTACTAAAAGACCACTGAGCACTTTTCTAAAAAACAAAAAAGCCCTTTAATCTGACCTGTCTCATATTTATCCTCCAATAGAAAATAGCTACCATATTCTGTTCAATTCTATAAGAACAACACGTGCAAATGGCAGTATCCTGTGAGAAGAGTGGTGTATGATGATCTGACAGCATCGCTGACACTGCATTCTTGCATATGTGAATATTTGAGTCTGACAGCACTGATCAATACAAACTCAATCAGAGCGCTTTAACACAAGCGTCTTCACTCGATATTGCCACATCAATCTGATATCAGCACTGGTCACGGCTGACAAGCGTTTCTCGAAAGGGGAAAAAAATGCATCCAAACATCGCTCTCCTTTTTTACGTCTTGCTGTTTTTCCTCTGGCCGTGACCTTAAACAGATGTGGTGAATGTGTTTGAGGCATGCTGGGTTGCCGAGTCTGCTGGGAAACACATGACAGTCTGCAGGGTCTCCATCTGGATCAGAGGCGCTCACGAAGGCCTAATCAATCCCATGTGCCGCTGCTTCAAACTCTGAGACATGCTTTCTGGGAGAGCGTGATGGAATGCGTATGACTTTGGCGCTTTTATATTATGAAAAATTAACTTGACTAAATAGAAATACCTATCTATCTATCTATCTATCATGTACACATAAATTACAATATTTATTAACATAATATTAATTAATACACGTGTAATACATAAGGTGTAATACACATTAACATCATGCATTTCTTTAAAGCTGCTTTGAAACTGTGTAAAAAAGCATTACACCAAATAAAACTGACTCGACTATAATATAATATAATATAATATAATATAATATAATACAATATAAATTCTGCACTGCTGGTGGCACCCAATACAGAACTGTAAAAATAATGACATTAAAAAAATTACGTTTTCAAACTCCCATCTGCTATTGGTCAGACAAACAGAAAGTACTGGCCTACAGTCAAACCACTGGCTGAGCCAATTGGGCTGCTAGCGGTGCAAACATTACACACTTCACGTTTAAATGTAACAAAAAAAAATCTTAATTTCCATGACGAAATTTCCACAAGTGCACAGGCTTATGTCAGCATGCAAAGAACAACAACAAAAACAACAAGTTGATGATGGCTGCACGAGACTGATGCATGATGGGAAATCAAGTCCAACAGACAGCGTGTACCTGCGCCAGAGTCATTCTCATCACACTGACCGCCGATGGCTCAATGTCCACCAACTTCTGCACAGAGCTCAGAGTCTGAGCCGGAGAGGAGGAAAGATGGGCACACACATACGCGCATATCACACACACACACACACACACACACACATACACATGAGCATATCACACACACACACGAGCATATCACACATACACACACACACACACACACACACACACACCACACACGAGCATATCACACACCACACCACACCACACACACACACACACACGCACGTGCGGTGGGATTAAGAGAGGGTTAGAAACAAACTGTTAGAGGACAGAAAAACAGGGTTAGAAACAGCAAAGCAGTCAGAAAGATGTTTAGAGACGTTAACGCTAGCAAACACAATACATACTATCTACTAGAGCCGTGAGAGAGGACAATCACACTACATGATTCAACACTGAACTACAAGAAGATGGAAGGAAGAGAGAGAAAGATAAAGAGAGCGAGCAAATGCTAACCATACAGTTACTTGGGGAGTGTTTGATAGTGATTAAATGCTGATTGATTAATTGCTGTTAATAATTTAATTGATTAGAACTCAATTAAACTTCATTTAATTGAAGTTTAATTGCAACATATAATCATTGCAGTTAATAGTGTTCACCATCTGTTTGATTACATGTCATTAACTAACTGCATGATTTTTACTGTACATTTCTGCCATATAGACATCAACTTGACATAGTCACCACTGATAAGCTACTACTAAATATAATGTAGAAACTTTAAAATAGATGGCCAAAGATGAAGATTTGATTTAAGTTAATTAATATTACTTTATTAAATAATATATAAAGTAGCATGTTGAGTATTTTACGATCCACACAAAATAAAGTAGTAAAGAGAAACTGCCGAATTTTTTTTATTATTTTTTTTATTTTTTAATTTAGCAGACACTATCCAAAATGACTTTCAAAGCAACAAATCTTAAGGAAGCAATAACATGAGAACAATAAAACTGTAGAAACAGTGTGAAACAGAATAGATTAAAACAGGGAGGAATTTATTAGAGTGAAAGCAAAGAAAAAGTTTTTCATTCTTTTTTTTCTTTTCTTTTTACATTATATTTTTTTTATAATTTTTGTTGTTAACAATAATGAAGGTACTAAAATGAAATTCACACTAAAACGCATTACTAAGCTAATTCCAATACCTTTATTTAAATATATTTAAATTATAGTTAAAAATAGTATAGTAACAATTCATCGATCAGATCATTCATTTTAGTAACTCTACAGCTAATTAATATAATTAATTTAATAAAATATGCTAATTTATCAAAATCTAAAAAAAAAACCAACAACAACTCACAAACAATACTGAGAAAAGCCCTTCAAAAATAGCCTTAACACATTATTATGACAGATGTGTAAACCCTGAACAAGCATTAAACCTTAAATTAAAAACCGAACATTTTACATAAAAAATGGCTTTAGAAGTCAAAATAATTCAATTTCATATTAACAGATGTTCTGGTGTAGATTTAACTGACCAGGCTGGATTGATCACGGACTCACACAAACATGATTTTCATTTAAGCGGTACTTTCAAGCTTGAATTGCTCCGACAGAAGGATAATTGTTTATTACGAAGTTTATGTATAGGTCGGTGGGCACTGTATTAAATTAGCCTGTTAAAATGTCATCAAGTTAGTTGTTATGCCATTAAAGCACACTAAACTGAAATCAAAGTTTCAAATAGGATAGAAGAACGTAGACAGATACAAAGAGGAACGCTATGGCTGAGAGAACATGAACTAAATATCAAACACACTGAAGCATAACGAGAGAACGTTCACAAAACGAGTGGTGATTACAGCCCGAGCAGAGACAGACGAGAGTTTCAACAGCGGGACGTTTCTTCATCACCACAGGAACAAGAAATTCTGTTCCCAGAGACTCTCAGATGCATCAGGCTAAAAATAAAAGGTGATGAAATTTGTGAGTTTTTTCTGCAGAGTTGTGAGATAAGTGTCGATGACGTTGTTAACGCTGAATAAAATCTGAAACGTTTGAACACAATTTAAACCTTTAAATAGAAAGAACAACAGAAAGAAGACCAAGACAGGAAGAAAGAGCGCTGATACGCTAAATAATGAAACCAACTAAAAATAAGATGTTTAGGTGAAAACTGGAGGTAGATTCCCTGCCATAACATGGTATAAACTGAACAAAATGTAATTTGGGATGACAGAGAATTGATATATAGATATTCACAATCTAAAGTGATTTTATGACTAAAACACATTTTTCTGTAAACATACACTACTGTTCAAAAGTTCCAGGTTGGTTTAATGTTCTCACCAAGACTGCATTTATTAAAATACAGCAAAAATTTTAAATACAGTAAAAACAGGAAATATTATTACAATTTATAATATCTATTTTCAACTGTGATATAATTTAAAATGTAATTTATTCCTGTGATCAAAGCTGAATTTTCAGCATCATTACTCCAGTCTTCAGTGTCACATGATCTTCAGAAATCATTCTAATATGCTGATTTGCTGCTCAAGAAACATTTCTGATTATTATCAATGTTGAAAACAGTTGTGCTGCTTCATATTTTTTGTGGAAACTATGATAAATTGCATTTTTCAGGATTCTTTGACGAACAAAATTGAAACCATAACATTATAAATGTCTTTACAGTCACTTTTGATCTATTTAACACCTCCCCGCTGGAAAAAAGTACTAATTTCTTTAAAAAAAAATCTTACTAACTCAAACCTTTTGAACAGTAGTGCATGATTCCTTGATTGCAGTGAAGTTCGTAAACATGCATGCACGAAACTCACTGTATCGCTATCGCTGGGCTGGAACTGGAAGTCTTGTGCTTTGTGAAACACTGGGTTCTCCTGCAGGAACAGCTGCTGGTTGAAGTCCTGCATCACCTGGAGATAAAAAACACAACTAATTAACAAACATATCAAGATGATGCAAGTGTATCTGAAATGCAAAAATGTTCCTTTAAAGGGAGAGTTCACCCAAAAATGGACTTTTTTCCTTTCTTCTTGGAACATGATTTTGACAGATTTTTTTGTGCACAATAAATGTTAACATTCTTCAAAATATCTTTTGTGTTCTGCAGAAGAAAGAATGTCATACAGGTTTGTAATGACATAAGGGTGAGTAAATGATGACAAAATGCTCATTTTTGCGTGAACTATCCCTTTAAGATCTTGTGCAGGAAAGATCCTTGCGTATCTCTCTCTCCCACACACACGCGTCACAATAGTGGTATGTAAAATTAGGCCCCCTTGGGCAGTGAAATAGTGCTCAGACAGATGTGTTTGTCAGCGCAGTGGAGGAATGATGTGTGTGTGTGTGTGTGTGTGTGTGTGTGTGTGAGGAGATTTCTTCATAGGGGAGCCGATAATGAGGCGCTGGCAAAGGGAATCTATTTCTGGGAATGAAGAAGGAAATTGAGAGAGTGATGAAACTAAGAAAGGAGAGAGAGAGAGACTCACTCGACTGGACTTCTCCAGCAGGAACTGGAAGGTGCTGTGGACGGCTTGAAACGCTTCCAACTCGGTCCGACAAAAGGATATCAGATAATCCTTCACATGATCGTATATGTTCCCCTCCAGACCCTAGAGAGAGAGAGACAGACACAGAGAAAGACGAATTACATACTCTGTGTTTGAACTGAAGAAATAACAAATGACCTTGTGCTTTCAGAAAGGGTCAGAGGTACCAAAGAGTGAAACGAGAATGATAGACATACTGAACTAGACAAAAATAGACAAACAGACAGAACAACAAAACAGACAGACAGAATTATGTACAGAAAATGACAGAATGGTTGTCAGAACAATAGAATGACAGATAGGAGGAAAAAGAACAAACAGAATAACAGAACTATAAAAAACAACAACAGAATGATAGAATGACACAGGAAGACAGAACAATAGACAGAAAAATTGTCAACAACAGACAGAATTATGCACAAAAATGACAGAATGGCTGACAGAACAATAGAATGACAGAATGACAGATAGGAAGAAAAATAGATAGAATGACAAATATAAAAAAGAACAACAGAATGATAGAATGACAGACAATAGACAAAAAAAATGACAGAAACATAGAACAATAGGCAGAAAAATATAGAAAAACAATAGAATGATACAAAGAACGATAGATAAAATGACAAAGAATGATAAAAACAGATATGGTAGAATAAGGAAAAACAAAGAATGGTTGACGGAATGAAAGAAATATAAAAAAATATATATGACAGAATATATAAAAAAATATAGAAAAGAACGACAGATAAAATGACAGTGATGGAAGGGATGATAAATAACGGTAGAATGATATGTAAATCAAATTTAAAAGGATAGAAAGATACAAAGAAAAACTGACAGGATGAAATGACAGAGAATTAGATAACCACAGACAGAACAACATGATAGAAATATTGACTGACAAAAAGAATGTCAGACGGAATGATTGAAAAATGACAGATAGCATATACAGAATAACAGAAAATATAGAAAAACGATAGAAGAACCAGAATTAGAAAGCGCTGAACGATAGATGAAATGACAGACAGATACAATAACAAAAAGAACAAGAAACAAAACAACAGAACTATAGAAATAATGATAGGGAATTTAAAACAATAGAAAGTAACAGAAAGATATTAAAAACAATAGACAGAATGACAGAATGAAACAACAGAATGATTAAATGATCGAAAAATGACCAAAACAAAACACAGTGTTTGTATGAGAGACAGAAAGAAGGACAGAACGTCCCGTCGGCCCCCTTGTGGCCAAACGAGCGTCGAACAGACGGACTGTGTGACGCTCGGATCAGAGCAGACTGTTCAAACAGCAGCAGCTGCTGGGAAAGGTTAGCCAGTTCAGATTCCAAGGCCTCGACGTGCAAAAACAAAACTCGAAACCTCTGCTTTCCCCCTCCGTCTCCCTCTCTCCCTCCATGTTCAGCAGCACTGGGAGGGGATGCATTTTGGAAACAGGCTTTGATTTGTACGAGTGAGCTGGAAATGAGACAGACCCGACCACGAGCCGCTCTGTCGGGTTACAGCAGGTGCCGCCGCTGTCAGGAAGCACTTGAGAGTCGTATGCGTGAGAGAGATGGAGAAAGGGAGGCTGTGCTTCCTTCTGATAGGATCATGTCTACCTCCACCCACCACACTCAAACTCTATAACACCCGTGTGTGAGAGCCGTGGACTGAGAGCAACGGGACCAGCTTGCTGTGCTTTTCTAGCCTTTCAAAGTTGCAAGAGATTTTAAAAGGAATACTTCACCCAAAAATGAAAATGCACTCACCATCAGGACATCCAAGATGTAGATGAGTTTGTTTCTTTATCAGATTTGGAGAAATGTAGCATTGCATCACTTGCTCAGCAATGGATGCTCTGCAGTGAATGGGTGCCGTCAGAATGAGAGTCCAAACAGCTGATAAAAACATCACAATAATCCACAAGTAATCCACACCACTCCAGTCCATCAGTTAACAGCTTGTGAAAAGCTGCGTGTTCATTAAGGCATTTTAACTTCAAACTGTTGCTTCCAGCTAAAATGCAAATTCTCTATCCATAATAACTCACATCAAAATGAGACAAATCCACACATATGCACAGACAAATTTATTTGGAACTGTTTTGGATTGCTTTGGTTTGTAAACGGTGCTTGATCTGTGCAGATTTTTCTCCCGATTCAGACCAGATGACTTTTTCACTGGAGAAAGCAATATTTAGCCATTTATAACAAACATGCAGCTTTTCACTTCACAAGACATTAACTGATGGACTGGAGTGGTGTGGATTACTTGTGGATTATTGTGATGTTTTTATCAGCTGTTTGGACTCTCATTCTGACGGCACCCATTCACTGCAGAGGATCAATTTGTGAGCAAGTCAAGTAATGCTACATTTCTGTCCCCAATTTTTTAGGGTGAACTATTCCTTTAAGCTTGCTTGTTTTGTCAAGGCTGTGCATTCACAAACCCTCTGAAAACACACCCAAATGTGTGAAAAACTATAATTCACGTGGCCAGTGGTTATGAGCACACCCGGACGGACGGGAACACATGCATACACACACAACACAGGAAAAGACATAAAGCAAACACACGCATCAGCTGAACAAACACTTCTGCTGCATAATAAATGCTTCACTTTACACCCCAATGCCTCCTGCAGGGAATTAATGAACCCCTCACCACACACACACACACACACACACACACACACACACAAACACACACACAAACAAACACACAGGAAGATTTCTCTAAGACTCGATATGAACCTGTGGTGCACAACGGCCGCCTGCTGGCTATATGCAAGTTATTTTTATACATTTTTATACCAAGTCTATAATGTGAGGATTAAAAGGAAAAAAATAATCTTTAACCTAAATTAAATTAAATCATTATAGTTAGTTATAACGCAAGTTAATATTCAACATTATACACTACCATTCAAAAGACTGTAAGATGTTTTGATATTTCTGAAAGAAGTCTCTTCTGCTCACCAAGGCTGCATTTTTTAAATTAAAAATACAGTAAAACAGTAATAATGTGAAATATTATTACAATTTCAAATAACTGTTTTCTATTTGAATATATTTTAAAATGTAATTGATTCCTGTGATACAAATCTGGATTTTCAGCATCATTACTCCAGTCTTCAGTGTCACATGATCCTTCAGAAATCATTCTAATATGCTGATTTACTGCTCAAGAAACATTTCTTATTAATTTAGAAAATTGTGCTACTTTATATTTTTGTGTGATATATACACTTTTTTTCAGGATACTTTGACCCATTGAATGGTAGTGTAAATAGTAATGATTTAAATAGTTAATTCACTTTCACATCATTTACTCATCCTCATGTTGTTTCAAGCCTATATGATAATAGATATTGGTCAGTAATTGGTCACAAGATGAGGTGAAAGAAAGCCATACAGGTTTGGAACAACATGAGGGTGTGTTAATGATGTCAAAATTGCCATTTTTGGATGTGCTTCTCCCTTTAAGCTTTCAGCAGACATGTAAGTTCTATATAAGCTATATATGTGTGCATTTGGGTGTTTCTAGGGAGGCCACAATTTGTCAGAGTTCAGTAAGTGTCAACTTTCTATAAAAAACAAAGCAGAAGTGTGACACGATGCTGATGGTGTTTGTAGATGATGACTGGTTCACACACAAAAACAGGAATAAGAGCTAAGAATACATGCAAAACACACACATCTGACATGAAGCTGCTCTCACCTCTTTCCTCACATTTACAAGTACAAAACAATACAACAATGACAAACTGCGGGGAAAACCCACGGCCAATCTTGAAAGCAGAAAATCCCCTTTCTTGTTCTTCTGAGGTGCCGTTAAACATTTAAGGCAAAATAAGGACTAAAAGAGAGACTTACTCAAAACAGGACGATGCAATGTGAAATCAGAGGCTTCTTTGCAAAAAACAGTGTTGCAACAGATCTTGCAGTTTAGAAAGTTTGAATTTGTGTTCAATTTAAAGAAATGATTCAAGATTTTTTATGGAAATGTGCATCAAGCTCAAAACAAAAGTTTCAGTTTTCACAAAAATATTTTTGTATCAATGTGCTTTCTTTGTAAAAATAAGTGCACATTGAAAACTACATGGCAAAGAACACTGCAATAAAGTTTTAAAACGATATATTTAAGTGCTGAATGCAGGTCCGATGTTGAATTGCATTACTCTGTGATTGCTGCTTGTAAAATACTAAAAAACCCTGAGGAACAAGCAAAATGAACTTGTAAATTAACCTGATATATATGTGGACCACCAAATTGAGGTTTATAAAGCAGGGGGCGCTACAGAGCAACTGCCACAGACACATGGCGAAATGAACCTGGAAACACTTATGAGGAAAAAATATGCAAGGAAAAGAAAAATTGGAGAAGTCAGGGAAAAAGAAGTCCTTAAATCCGCCCTGACAGCAATGGAATATATATCCAAGAATACATCTGGAAATGTGACTGATGAGACTATTCTCATAATCAAGTCATAGATTTAGAGCTATAGAATATTGACTGTAACCAAGGTTACGGCTCAGCCAATGGGAGATGAGGAGAAGGGCTGTAGAGGGCCGGTCGTTCGGCAGCTGGTGGAGCCTGAAGCGCAGATTCTCCATCTATCAATAATTTAAACCAGATTCTCTCTCTCGCTCTCATTCAGACTGCATTCATATGGCTCGCGGTCAGACACGAAGCGGGTGGAACACAGATGATGTCCTCCAGTAAGAACAGGAGGAGACTAGCAGTTCGGCTCTGGACTCAGTGGAGAAACAAAGCTAATAGTTGCATTATGAGACGTATGAGACCAGATCAAGCGGAAAAATGCAGCTTAAATGCTCGTCTGGTCTGATCATGAGTAAAAGTGCAGGAATACAAGAGAACAATTTAAACAACAGATTAACAATCTGATACAAACTAAAAAAACAAAATGAAATTAACAAAACGGCTGATATGTGCACACCTGTGACCTGTGAAGTTGCTTTAATTAAAAATTAAATTAAATTGAAAGCAAACCAGGATTATTATAGCTAACTAAAACCAAAAACTACAAATACATTTGAACTCAAATAAAATAAAAAACTTGATGTGCTAAAACACCTAAAACTGAAATAAAAATGTAAAAACTATACTGACATAGAAAAAAATTTAAATGACAAAAACAAAAAATGACTAAAAACAAACAAACAAAAATACTAGAACTGTAACTAAAATGAAAACAGAAAATATATAAAAAAATTCAAAATATTAATAAAAAACTACAACAGTATATCAGTGATACATTAAAACAAAATAAAATAACAAAATAAGATTACAAAAAAAACAATTATAAACAAATAGTCTTCATATAGAAAATCTATAAAACCTATACAAATTACATTTCCAAATTTACATTTTAAAGGTCTTTCTAATGACATCTTACTAAATTAATTTTCCAAAAAAATAAATTAAAATTAAAGCTGCTGCCTAATGGTGCTTTGGATAAAAGCATCTGTTAAATGAATAAATGTAAATGCAAGTTGCTTGGGAACTGTAAATAGAGTTACACTAATACACCATACTAATTGATGAAATTTTTTTTTATTGTTAATTATATATATATATACAGTATATATATATATATATATATATATACACACACACACATATATATATATGTATGTATCT